GGGAACCCGCCCAGTGCCCCTGGTCTGCTGGAGACGGTCTCCAGCAGACCAGGGGCACCGGAGCAGCTTACGAACGGGGCTTTCTTGCCCCGGAGCTCGCAGGTAGCAATCCGCTACCTCGACCTCCGGGGCGAGAAAGCCCCGTTCCGACATAAGTCGGATTCGCGTAAGTCGGGGACTGCCTGTACTTGACAAATATTTAAACATCGCTGACTGGACTTCATGTAATTGGCAACAATTTTCCAACAATCCATTATTGCTTAAATGACAATAGCATTTTTTAATATTCCAGTTTAGCTGCTACTTACTTTTTTTAAAAGTAAATGTTTAAAATAATTCATTTTGTTCTGTTCCCTGAACACTGGTTCATTTTTCACCCATGTTAACTCTTGAAATGGCTCAATGTAGCTCCATGTTGTTCATTTCCATGGTTTTCTGTTTGCAGTATTGATTAGCTCAGAGGGAACATGCACCACTTTGTGAAGAGCATCTCTTAAGAGCCAGCAATGATGGTTATTTTTATTTCTTAGAGATGGGAATGGTGGGTTATAATTACTTTGGCTCAACAGCTAGTTGCTCTAAAGAAAAGTGTACATGTATCCAGGGGTCTATTTATGCTTCAATGCAAGTCCATGGTTAATGGCACAGGAGTTAGAAGTAGATCCTGGATTTGTTAGCCTACAGCTGGAGTGTCTACACATACCTCATTTTAGGAACTACTGAACCTTGGGTCCCAATATGGGGTTCCATTGTCTATGCACATTATGCAGCCTGAGTATAGCCCAGACTTCCTCGTGACCTCGCAAAATGTAGCTGCATTAGTCTTTTGTTCATTGAGCTGTGTGGGAAAATTTAACTGTCCCTCCCCAAACTTGACTGCTTAGAGAATAAAGTCAGCTCATGGGCCACGATAGGTGGACTTCCAGAACATGAGTCTTCTGGGGCTGTCTCTACCCTGAATCAGCATAGAGCTTGAACCCTGGGTCTTAGCTTGATGCAGGGGTGGACTTTCCACCCATATGGTGTTCTGAGACCCTGAGTCAGAGTGATTTGTGTGTAGATGGAAGGGGGGCTTAGGCATGAGCCTGAGTTCAAACTCCTTGGCTCACACAACAGTGTAGCCATGTCTGCAGGAATGTATCGACCTCTTGAGCTCTGAGCTTGTGTGCAGATGCCACTATGCAGAAACACATGATAGATAGATTCTAAAATTTAGAGGACATAATTTTAAGATGAAGTCCATTTTAGGCTTACATTAACTGTAGGCAGTTAATATACATTTAAAGAACTAAAACCTGTTAACTTAATGGTTTCCCTCCTTCACTTGTTTGTTATATTATAGGGTTGCTTATGAAGGCTTTTCATTACATGTATTTTTAATACAGAATAAATTAATATGAATGTTACACAAATACATACCTAGTGCTAATAATTGATAATGATTTAAGTGCATTTGTCAACCAGGAGTCTGTCAGAGCTTCAATCTCTGCTCTTAACTGCAGCCATGCATCCCTTTTAGCAGGGCCAAGGAGACCTTATATATAAATGAGTAAGGAAAAACAAATTAAACTATGCTTTAGCTGAAGCATACAGATGTTGTAGTAACTTACTCTATTTTGAATTCTGCTTTTTTTTAAAGGTTTGATTAAACAAATCCACTGAAGCCAATGGAAAGATTCCCATTGACTTCAGTGATGAGTGGGTTTTACTTCTCCCCAATGTGGATGTGTAAGGCTCTAGGACTTTTTGTTTGAAAGATACCTGAGCTCTCATTAATAACCAGTTTAGATACCCATATGTGTATGTATGTGTATTTACAAAGTTAGAAGCTGGAAAGTCCTACTTCATTTCTCCATCAATACATAACTTTTCCCAATGGTGTGTTTTTTTCCAAAGCAATTAGACTATCTCCTCTTTTATTGCAAGGGTATCTACAGCCTAACACCATACATCCCACTGAAATGGTAGCCCCATTTATCTCTGTTATTGTTCTCTAATAACTTCCAACCTTGGTATCTGAAGCTGTTGCAGCCTTGAAGTATTTGTAGATTTTATGACACCTTTCCTCTAATCTTGTCTGAGAAACTTATAAAAGCTTCCCTCCAACCTCTCAATAGTCCTGCTTAAATAGGAAGAGCCAGATTTTCTAAAGTACACAGTTGTTGCAGAACATTTGAAAATCTGATAACTTAGCTCAGTCAGGTTTCTTTGTCAATGGCTCTTTTGAAACAAGACCACATAGTGAGGAAAAAATGTTACAGAAGATGGAGGGAGTAGGATAGCTGTGTGAATTGGCCACAAATGGTGGAATATATTAGATAATCAAAGTACAAACAATGTTTATGGGGCAAAAGAAAAATACATATAGAATATACTATGCATACAGACTTCAGAGTGATACCAGTTATAACAACCATCTTTAGATTCTTACACATTGGCTCAATAACAGGTTGTGGGTTTTTTTTTAATGGCACAGAGAAAGTTAAGAATTCTAGAACCAATAGTAGCTTTTTTATGAATGTTTAGTAAATCCATAGGTTTACTTTTTTCTGGTATTTTAAATGTATAAAATCCCATTTCAAAATAGTAATAACATGCTGAACAAGATGGTGGCTTGGAGCATCATTAACTTCTCAGGTATTTTAAGCTGCTTTATCTCAACACCTGCAAATGCTCTATCTGCTTCATTTTCATGTAAATAAATACTTTTAACTAATAAAAATGCAAAGGCAAAGATATGTCAGTCTAATTTTCAGTGAAATGTCTACCATGGTGACCAACGCTCACTGTCCACATCATCCTCACTCATGATTTACATTTCTGCCAGAGAGACTTGGTTACAAAGCAGTGCCAAACCTGCCTGTTTTTGTTCACACCTAAGTTTTAATTTTAGATTATGCCCTGCATGAATCTCAAATGAAGTGAGTCTTATTGTAAAAGTCAAGAACTTCATTGGGATCCTCAGCCTCACACAGGCCTGGGCTTTCCTTCCCCATGGCGTTTGGAACAGGGGACAAGTGACAAGACCATGTCATCTTGGAGTGGATGACTGATCTTGGTTTTTCAGAGTGGGGCTGGCTGGACTGCTAAATCATACAGGAGGAATATTCTGGATTGATTCAGCCTTCTTTCGCAGCAGTAGAATGATAGTATCTCTACACTGCATTCCTCTTTCCAGAGAGGAATGCAAATGCAGGTGAGCGAAATTGCAAATGAAGCAGGGATTTCAATTTCCTGAACTTAATTTACATAATTGCGTCGAGCTGCTATTTCTAAAAAAATGCTGTGTAGACACAGTTATTTTGGGAAAAAACCCTTCTTTTGAAATAACCCTTACTCCTTATAAAATGAGGCTTAAGGGTTATTTCAAAAGAAGGGTTTTATCTCGAAATAACTGTCTACACAGCGTTTATTTCGAAATAGTGGCTGGATGTGATTATGCAAATGAAGTGCAGGAAATTCAAATCCCCACTTCATTTGCAATTTCGCTCACCTGCATTTGCATTCCTGTCTACTTCATTTGCAATTTCGCTCACCTGCATTTGCATTCTTGTCTCCAGAGAGGAATGCAATGTAGACATACCCCTAGTAAAGATGCCCTCATCTTGTGAGAGGTCAGAAGTTTCCTACTAAGACAGGTAAAGTTAGGTGGGGGTGTCTGGTACAGATTTAAAGGGAACAGCAGCAGGACTCCAAGAACCTTTCCGGCTTCAGAGCTACAGCATGTGGTGGACTAACGTGACTGTCTGCCAGGGGCTCTCGCCAATGGGGTTTGGTGGTAGCCACCCTCTCTAGCAAAAGAGGAGGATGGGGGAATAGGCAGTCGTCTTCATGCTGAATCTACCAGCATGGCGGAAGCAGGAGGACACCTGAGCTGTCTCCTAAAAATCATCTGAAGTGGTTGGAACAGCCAGCAAGTCCATGGGACTTGTGCAATTGTGTTGGAAGGGTGAAATTCTAATCACACTGAACTCCACTGGAATTTTGCCACTGATATCAATTGGGCCAGAATTTCACTCTAAGTATGCTGCTAACACACTTCTCTGCAGTGTCCCCTAGAAGTGGTATTCCAGCAGTCACTCTTTGTAGCAGAATATCTTGCCCAACTCCAGCATGGTCATTTTATATTACATTTTAATAGCATGAATTTCACTGAACTGAATGTTCATGTAGAGATTCAAAGAGTACAGTAAAATAGCATTAATTACCATAATCATACAGTAACTTATTCAAAATATTATCGAGTTACATTGAATGTGCCCTACCCTTACCTCCTATGTTGTTCTTGTAAGTATTATACAATTCTTTTACTCTTCTGTAACGGAAAGCCAGCTTCCTCATCCAGTCAACCCCTCCTCTTACACCTGTTGGCAGACAAAGGTTTGCACTACTTGCAGCTGCATGGAAGCCATCAGTTGCAAAACTGTAGGTACTGCAAACACCCAAAATATATTAAAAATAAATACAATATATTCCTGTAAAAAGATCAACTTTTCTAATCTTTGCAAAAAATAAAATTTTGAAAAAGAATACATCTTACCTTAGATCTTGTCCATTATCATCAGAAGAAACATCATCTATATGAACTTGATCACATTCCTATTGAAAAATTCAATTATAAAGATAACTTGTTATAAAGGTTCATGTATGTGTTAATGCTTCCCAATATGGGTTTTTTAAAATACAGGTATTACTGAAACACCTTTTGCATAGCTTTGGTTATGCCAGAAGATGGCAGTGTCTGCATGCTTGTAATCTCATAATCATGACAAAGTTTTCTTTCCAAACAAAAGAAATTTCAGCTCCTCCGACACTACTCAAATTGAGTTACAACGGTGTTCCCAAAGAAAGTAACAGGATACGTGGTACTTGAATTTGATTTTTGGACAGCAATTTTTTAAAACCCTCTCCTAGTCTCTCTCTGATGTGTTGTAAAATTTTTGTTAACCTAGCATTTCAAAATCAGTTCAGACCATTGTTCTACAATCTCTATAAAAACCTGTAATGGGTGAACCTCAAAGATTTGTCATTTCTGTTAAGCATCTGGATTTTTGGAGGCTTATCAAAGTCTTATCTGAACTTACACAAACCTTTGGTTTGGAAATCTCACAAAATCAAGTTCTTAAGGGCTCCACTACTTCCTGGTTTTAACTGGGCTAAAAAACCCCCACAGAAACAGCTTGTTCTGTAGTGTTTGAATACATCCAGTTCGGGAGTGGGGGGGCGGGCGGGGCAGGGGAGGAATGGGCAGTATGGAACATACAGAGAACATATCTGATTTAAAAAACTTAAGGTTTTGCCATTATTCACAGCTGTTATGGACAAAAGCGAATTTGGGATTAAAAAATACTCTACACGTACACAAGTACTGTGTCAATTTTACATTTGTTTTCTGTACCATAGTTATAGTACATTATCTGGAGGACATGTATGAATTTCGTTGTTTAGAGATTTTACCTGCATATATTTAGTGATACGATCATAAGAAAAAATAATCAGAATTTTATGAAATTTAGGATTAAAGGGTTATGCTGAAAAACAGTAAAATTATGTCTAATTATTTAAAGGATGAGGGACGATTTTGAAAATGGATTCACGCCCTCTACTGCTGTAACTCTTATGCCAAGCTTTCCACTTATGGAACTGCATACCCTTAAATGACTGCATACCCTTAAATGACAAGTTCTCAATCATTGTGAAACAAAATCACCAGTCAAGCTGTGCACATTTTAGAAGTCTCAAAGCTCAGTCTAGTATAATTGCTAAGAAATTTTAAAATCTGAAGAAAGAAGAAATTTCAGAATATTCACATTGAAAACTGAGAATTTAAACTGGGAAGACAGCACATGGAGTTAGAGATGTATTTGTTCAAATTTCTCCAAACCTTAATATCAACAGTAAATATCATGATTTTTTTCCAATACAAAGTAAACCTGTTAAAAATCAGATTACACTTTTAGAATCAATTTGTGGACAAAATTAGTGCAGACTACATAGTTTAAATCTCATTTATGATTCACCATTGTCAAATATCCAAAAGAATTAGCTTCCACATTCTACTTGTTTTGGCTTAAACCAATCATGTAATTGACATGGTAGTGTTAAGAACGCAAGAGCTGCAAAATTTACTCATTCTTCTCTCCTTGGGAAAGTGTGTAGTTTTGCTCTAAGTGGAATGGAATTATCCTAGTGTGCAGATTATTAAACAACATACTATTTTCCCTAGGGTCCATATTTAAGTTTGCACAAACTTATGCTGAGGAAATAAAAAAAGCCATTTTAAACAGAGTTGGTTTTTTCTGAGTTTTTAAAAGTTCAGATAACCTGCATCTTTGAATTTATTTTTGACTAGACCTCTGAACTTCCTAGTTCTGATGGAGATTAGCAAAACGCTATTGGAATGTAGAGCCTTAAAACCTCTCTAAGAAAATAGAGATGTGGCAGGGGGATGTTAGAGTGGGGAAAAATGAGTGCCAGATGCAAATAAAGGAGCTGTTCTCTTACTCTCTTGCCTTCACTGTTGTTTGTGCGTATGGAGACATGCCTGTGGAAGACATCACACAGTTGTTTCTCGTCAGGCTAGTATCAGACTCCATATTACACTGGGACAGATTCTGATACCTTTACTCACGTTAAGCAGTATCATATTCTAGAGCAACTCCATTGATTTCCGTGGGATTGGTTATAGAATTGCAATCTGACCTGTGAGTTTGTGTACCTTTCATTTCCTCACCATGCAAAAAGTATGAACTAATAAAAAGGAGTGTCCATATCTGTTCAATGTTTGTTAAACTGTGCAGCTATTTTATGAGTACTACAATTAGAGTACATTTTTAGTACTAGAAAATAGATTTATTTGGAATGGAACCAATAATTGGCACATAACCAACACATAAAATTCCAGAGACTAACTTAACTGCAAAATTGAATATGAAGGGATGGCAAAGCCTCAGCCATTTTGTTCTACTTTGAATTTGTATCTAACATCTTGAAAACTATATCCAAATTCACCAATTTATGGGGAGGAAAGAAAGAGGGTCCAAGAGCATGCAGTTTTCGAACTTCCTTGCTGCTTGTCTTTGCCAAGAGGGTTTTTCAATTTCCAGTGTCCCAGGATCAAAATACACATGCTTTTACAATTCCCTTTCCTCACTGATTCTATGGCTCATCCTTTTAACCAATTGTCTCTGAGCTATACTCACATGGTTACTTGCCATCCCCCTCTACCTTTTTTGGTGCATTACTGAATACTCACAAGGGAGACCTTAGAGCTGACTAATATGCTATTTCTAGTCTATCAAAATATTCCTTTCTTCTTGATTTTTAAAACATTTTAAATAGTCACACTAGACCAACGTATTTGTAAATTTAAATAAACTTTCATACCAAAAATGTCCAAGTTCAACATAAACCAAAGTCAAATTGGGTACAGGTTTTTAGTCAGTTCCCTCCCATTCCCAGTCGAAACAATGAGCATGTTGCACAAGATTAGGAGATTGTAATTTGTTCATAGGAAAGATGGGATAGAAATGGGGAAAAAAGCTCTCTGATAATTGTAAGGTAAAATACCTTTTCACAACAGCTACAGTACTGGCTACACTCAAGTCACAGTGGGTCACTGGCTGTGCAAGTTCAAAACTAAGAAAGATAAAATATATTTTCTATTACTGTGTGTGTACAGAATTAGTCCAGGTACAATAACTGACTTTTCTTTGCAGTAATATTTATTTTAAACACAACTTGGTGCTGTTATTTACCCGTAGGAATTTTTAGAGCTTGAAAATTTTACTGAAAGTCCAGAGCCTATGAATTGTCAATAAAAAATTATCCTCTTGGAAGGGATAGTAATTTCATTATCCAGTAAAAACAGTGACTCACTGCACTGAAAACAAAAATGCTATTATACTGCATATATTCAGCACTATACATTTTCAGGATGTACAGAACCACCCATTTCATGTACATGCCCTGATCTCTATTAAAACTGGACTGAATTGCTTGCCAAGTTTTGAGGTTTATTTAAACTGCTACCTGAACTTTCCCCTCTTTTATGTGAAAGAAAAAAATAGCACAAGGTTGATTTTTTTTTCAACATGAAAAAAGTAAATGTATAGATCTTTCATACCTCATTACCTTTGCTGCTCTCTAAACCAATATTATATATTTATATTCCTTTAAACTGTATGAATTTGGCTTTCCTGCAGCTTGTGAAAAAATGACAACAAATAGCAACAGACTATTTTACTGTTGCATACATACAGGACCCAAATCCTAATTTGTAGACCCTGATTTGTGCATGTAGTGGTGGGGAAAGCACTAGAACTGAAATACTTTCTACCAACATTTCTCTGCTCCTGCACCCAA